TTATTGAAAAGAATTTAAAATTATTTTGATACTTACATGGTTTTTAATTATTTCCATGTTTTGTAAATGCCATATTAAATTTCTAATGAAATATATCCCATTAAAGCTGACTATAAAGGAATTCTTTTAAAGCAAAATCCTGCTTTGCCATTGATTTCCATTTCAAATGTTAAGAAACTTCTATCTGAAAACCTTCTAAAGTTTATAAGGTCATAGAGTTTTGGCTTTGAAAGAATTAGAACTCTTACCAGCCCTGTGCATGATGAAATATAACCACATATTAGAGTTTGACCTATCTGTTATGCAGTGTTTTCCTGTGCCTGAGGGTCTCTTCAGCTAAATCCCCTCTTTCAACTTTAAGTACAAGTGTCCTTTTCATTAGGATATTCATAATGCCTATATGGATATGTTTCAGCCTACATATTTTTTAAACCTCAAATTATTTGCAGTGTATTTTAAAACTATGTTTACATACTTTGACCTGTAAGGAAGATTATAATATTTGAGGGGAATAATTCACGGCTACAGTTTTTATCCCCTTCAGACTACCTCTTAGGAAAAGTTTAGCTCCATATTAGAATTATGAAATTATTTCTAATTCTCAATTTAGGTGATACATACGTTTTTCAGTTTTTTTGATAGAAAGCGTGTATTTTTATATTTAGTATCCAAGCAATTTTTAATCTTTAATGGAATCTTTGCAATTTGTAAAGGAATTAAGAGCTAATATTTTAATAGCATAAGTAGAGGTATACAATGTATTTTACCCTTTTTAGGTTATGGGTTAGTAATTCAAGTACCAAAAAATAAATTTATGTGTAACTCCTCTGCTTCAAAATTCAGAATTTATACTTTAGAGCAAGATAATGTATTTTTTATGGTTTTTAAATAAATTACTTAAAAGTGAGACTTAGGATATTTAAAATATCAGCACTGCATTTAACCTAGTACTTTTCCTTCTGTTTTGAGCTCTAGCAAACCTTCACCCAGCCAAAGGAGCTAACCATTATAACACTATCAGTATAAAAGTGGCTGCAAACCATTTGTTTACCGCTTATGGTATAATGCTTGGATTAGTACTCAGGTATTCCCTTACTGTGATATAGCTTCAAAATATAGTTTTTCCTTCTTTTTTCTGAAATATTCCTTGAGTGACAAAATCACCTTGCATTATTTTAAGAGTAGAAAACAGACTGCCTTGGATTTTCTCTTTTTTTGAAGCTGTTAAAGGAGGGGAAAATGGGCCAGGGATTTAGCTCAGTGGTTCCGCTGGCTGCCTACTTCGCAAGCACAAGGTCCTGAGTTCGATCCCTGGTACTTTAAGGAGGGAAGAGGACACAAAACATTTATCGTCTCAACCAGAAACATTTTTTACTTTAACTAAAATGATAAATTACAAAATGTTTCTTTGTTCTTTTACTCGTGATAGAAAATTATGTTCATCTTCCTCCAGAGAAGTCTCAGTTCCTCTTAAACTATTTTCTCAGAGGAAAACTATATGAATCTTTATCACTTGATTATGTTTGCTTTTCTTCCAGATAGAGCTAAATTGCTCTGTGGGATTGGGTTTATTTTATACTTTTCATGTTAAAGATTGAAGTTGAAAATTGAGTGTATCTGTAAACCTGTAAGCAGTTGAATATAAAGACTACAGTTAGTAAAACATTTAAATAGTTTTGATTTAGAAAATTCCTAATATTGGATGTTTAAAACAAAAAGAAGCTAAAACACTAATAGTGTAGCTCATTTATGTGATCTTATGTAATATTTTGAAGTAAACTTACTAAGAAAGGTGAAGGCATAGGGAAAAATATACACTAATAAAAGCTTTTTATTAAAAGTAAAGCAGTCCTTCAGCAGTAGTTCATATACCTGTAATAAACTGTAAATTCTTTATATGCTTTTATTAGGCCATTATACAAATCATTTTCTTGATTATATTTACCTTTTTTTTGAGCAGCTGGGAATCAAACCTAGGCCCTTGAGCGTGCTGAACAGGCGCTGTACCACTGAGCCATACCCCCAGTCCCAACTTTAATTTCTGTATTTTTCTAAAATTGACCCAGGTTTCCCTACTTCACATCTCCACCAAAATTCAGTTCCAGGTTAGAATCAGTATTTCAAATAAAATAGGGCACACCTAAAATGTTCCTATATCCAGGAGGATGTTTCTGCCTATTTAAACTAAATTTCACTTAAGCATCCTTTGCTGTAGCAATAGCTTCACCTCATAGGGCATTACTCTGTTACATCAGTTATATATTAAAACCAGCAAGTGCTGGGGTTAATTTTTAGAAATATTTTAAAACTAAGTAGTGAGCATTTTTCCATACTTGTGCTTGTTACTGTACACTGTTACTTATATTCCCAGACAGGGGAACAGCAATTCTGAAAAAGTAGCCATGTGGGAATTTGCATGATTCCTACGAACTTAAAAAATTATTGCTGTTTTGGGAACTAGGCTGATTTTTAAATATGTCATGAGATACAGTGTTTGGATATTAGGCCCGTCTAAATGATGTATCTGAGGTGTTAACTGGAGGTGATGCTAGGTTTGTGTAAGATAGTGAGAATTGTTTTTCTGATTGTTGCCCACCTGCCTCTATTTTTTCTAGTATTGTCTTAAGCAGTGACTGTCTCCTCTATAATACTTGGCACTGTATCATCATGTGAGTGCAGAATATGTGTATTATCAAGACTTCTTTTTAAACACGGGTACTTTTTCCTTGTACTTTTTATCTCTTCTCCAAAGGAGAAGATTCTTTCCCATGGCTTTGTATATATTAGGCATTCAAATAACTTATTTCTATTACTTAAATGCTAAGGACTTTCTTTGATACAGATAGCTACTTTTGGTGCATAATCATTACGACAACTTTGTGTCATGTTTCTGATACCACAGAACACTCATGGAAGTGTAACCATATTGATGGTGTCAGGAAACAGTGAAGCATTATGTACCTGTATGTTTATATTCTTCTGATAGTTACTTCTGTGATTCAATTTGGTTTAAAGAGTGTTTTGAAAGATTTCCTTTTTCCTGGGGAGATGTGCAGTAGGCAGTTGTTAAAGACACAGTGCTAAAGGAAAGGGAAAAATTTCTGATTCAAAGTTTATTTAGTCAAATGTCAAAATGTGATCAGTGAAGTAAAATAATTGATCAGACATACAATAATCAAAAGATAGTAAATTCTTAAAACTTTTAATCCAATCCCATTGAGCATCAGTTTTATATTTTTATCATACCCATAGTTTGTATCTTAAGGGCTGTAAGTCAGAACTGTCATGCAGACATCTCAAACTAGACGTCCAGCACTGCTTGTTTGGAGTGCAGTGGTCTGCCTGGAGAATTGTCCCCAGATCTTATTATGTGGGAAAGTCACTGCCCAGAAGAGTTTCCCCAAAATGCCTCTGTGGAGCCCAAGAGAGTCCCAAGTAAATACTCTACTGCCCATAGGGCCTTGTACATTTCAACTACCTGAATGTCTTTTTGAATATTAGTAGTTATTCCAAGAATTGAGCACAAATGTAACTGTATTCTTTGTTAACATTTTATACCTGTGTAATTTTCAGCTGGTTGTGTAGTGATTACTTTTTAATTGCTTGGGTCCCAGATACCATAATTGAATAATATTACATGTATTTAGCACAGAAATGCTGCTATCCAACATGCATTGATCTCAAATATGAGGAGAGTTGGAATAGGAGTTATTAGTATGGGAATTTGAAAGCAATATAAATTTTGTATTTGTACTATATAAAAAATATTTTAAGCAAAATAACCCTCTTAAAACTTACCCAATGAAGTCTGCTTTTCTGCTGTACATTGTATCGTACAGTTAACATGCAATTAGAATGTTCAAAACACTTATCTCCTGGTGATCTTGCTCACTTTATAGAAGACTAAAACTAGAATTTAAATTTTTATCTGAAATTTTGCTTTCTTCAGTGGGAAAGATAAGTGACTGGGGTTTTTATATGATTCTAATGCAGGAGCTTTTCCCTTCCCACTTAGCCACTCTAACTGAGGCCTTGGTGAAATAAGCTTATAAGGGCTTTGAAAACTTTAATGAACAAGAAGAAAACTCTCAAAATTGTCAGGAAAGCTGGGCATGGTGGTGCATGGCTGTAATCCCAGCACTTGAGAGGCTAAGGCAGGAGAATTGCCATGAGTTTGAGGCCAGCCTGAACTATGTTGCAAGACCCTGACTCCAAAAAAATTAAAAGATTATCAAAAACTAGTGATTAGGAAGATGTAGAATAGGGGCTGGGGATTTAGCTCAGTGGTTCTGGCGCCGGCCACACAAGCGCAAGGTCCCAAGTTCAATTCCCGGTACCAAAAAAAAAAAAAAAAGCAAAGAAAATGTAGAATAAAAGTGTCAACTCTGAGAAGCCATTGATTTTGACTTAAAGGTATAATAAGCTAGAGTTCCCAATGCAAATATGTTTAAGTCCTCATACTACACATATTATTTACACTACTTCCTCATTTTCAGACTGAAGTGTATATAGTTAGAAGTGGCAGATGTGGACCCACTTTTATAATTCCCCCACACCCTCTGGCAGGACTTAGGCATTTCCCGTGGCAGTGATTTCTCACAGCCTTTGTGAGGATATTGAGAGCACTATTCCTTAGCTTGATTTCTAGGGCTCTAAGGTCCATTTTGGCTTTTACCTTGTTCTTCCGTGTTTATTGAGTTGAAATTGTCTCAGCGAAAAGAAAAGCTAAATACAGAGTAATGGTAGTGCTTTCATGTTTAATACGCAGGAGCACAGAGTGACAAATCATCTGGAAGTGACTTTTTCATAAAATATGCATGGTTACAGGTTTACAACTTACTTTCACTGCAGTAAGAATGTATCATTAAGAAATTGGGGTGAATACATAGCCATGTATTTGACATTGGACAGCATGGGCGTGCTCCTTCTTCCTTCCTAATCTTGAGAACCACAGTTCACCGTTTTAGGGGTGCTAGACAAAAGGTGACCAACAAATGTTCTTAGAACTTGAGTGTGCTGGACGCCCTGAAGTACGACAGGAACTTGTAACAGAAGCTCACGATGAAGAACCAGATGTTCCGTGCCATCTGCCATCTTGCAGTAAGTAGGCGCCAGATGATGAGAAAGAGGGCAATGTTAAAGAGGTAGTGAATATTTCGGAGCCTGAGGAACAGACAGACATAGCAGTTAAAACAGTACCGAACACCTGGCTGGCTTTTCTGAGGCACAAATATGCCCTCCTATTGTGAGCAGCACATACTAAGGAAGTACTGAGTGTCTGTCTGCCTTGATGGTCTTTTTGATTTTTGTATTTCCCCACAGCATTCCTTTGAATAATTAGATTTCTGCCATACTTCCCTAGTTTTTCTCATATCTGTCTCTGCTTGAAACTTTTACAAATGATTAGCATAACTTTTAAAAACACATTTTGCTGTTACTACCATGTTACGAATTTCAGAGTGAATTCTAAAGTTCTTCACCTGCTTTTCAGTGTCCTCTGTTTTGCCATGTTTTCCCATGCTTATCTCCACACTATAGACCCTTTGCTTCTACCAGAATTACTGCCTGCATGCCATAAGCTCTCATCCTTCTGAAGTTACGAGTCAAAGAAATGTGAGGAAAGAACTGAAGAGTGGCTAGCTGCACACCGCCCCCCATGCAGCAGGATTAGGTCCCTTGCCCTTTGGGCATGGTAGGGTGTGGTAGAAAAACAAATCTGTGTTCAAAACTGGTTCCTTACTGTGCATTGCCATGGACAAGTTCCTTGCTTTGAGACTTGTGATAAAAATGGGTAACAGAACCGGTGCTTGCCTCCCAGGGGTGCAGTGCAGTCTAGGTGACAGTGCATCATAGGGCACCGCAGAACACAGGACTTGCAGTAAGTGTCCAAGAGTGGCCCCTGCTCAAGTTTTACGCCTGCTATAAAGTCAGGTACATAGGAGGTCTCCATAAATATTAACTGTGCTTACCTTTTTAAGTGTTGCCTTGCTTCTGGGACTCCAGCCATATCCTCTTTCAGCAAGTACTTCTTAACTCCCAAAACATAATTTTCAATGTATTCCAACCAGTTCAGCTGCCGCACATCAAAGTTGAATATCTGCAAGGAAAGAGAAGTATGGGCCACCGGCATTGCCCTGCAGGACTGCCATTTGTCCACCTGGTGCAGTTTTTACACAAGTCAGGGACATTCAGCTTGGATGTCCAATGTCCAACAGAAGTTGGATGCCTCAAAGCAGAGATTACTGGAGCTGTCACTTCAGAAGTACCGATAATACACATTACTCTTTCCATACTAGCATTCACACATGGGCCAAGTCCAAACAGTTGGCATTTAAGTCTGAGGAAAATTTAAGGGAATGTATTTATCTGGTGAAAGCTTTTGATTGGCTTGGTATCCGTTCTCAAGTACATGAGGAACAATTATTTTTAAAATAGTGATAGAATAAGATGTTAGTTACCAGAACAAATGTATCTTTCCCATTCCTCAATTCTAGTGCCTTCCCCAAGGCCTACCACCCTCTCTTGTACCCACAACACAACACCTCCTGCAGGTGAGAGTAAGCTTTGTAAGCAAAGCCTGGGGATGGGAGAGCAGGATTTGAATTGAGTCAGGCAGAGGTCCTTGAAGGGAGGAGAAGGGCACTGGGAGAGGAAGTGTAGCCACAGACAGTGCAGCACAGACCTTGGCAGGGACGGAAGGAAACTGGTGTTTACGTTTCGCTTCCACGATTACAAATGTATTCTCTTTCTGGTTTGTTATGGAACAGCTAAACTAAAGATCTGAACTGCTTTTCATAGATTTTATTTCTGCTATGGTGGTACAGGATCAGGAGTGGACTCAGCTTTTTTTTTCTTTTTTGCAGTGCTGAAGATTGAATCCAGCACCTTTGCATTGAGCTACCTCCCTAGTCCTTAAAATGTTTTTTGAAACAGGGCTTTGATGAATTGCCAAATTTCCCAGGTTGGGTTCAAACCTGCAGTCCTCCTGCCTCAGCCTCCCAGAGTGCTAGGATTACAGGCCTGTGTAGCAATGCCCTTCTTTAGATGGAGAAAGGATGGTAGGGAAGTGAAGGCTGATAGGTCATCCTGAGTCATCCACTTGTCTTTTCCAATTCTCCATAAAAGGAGCTTAATAGGTGAAATGGAGAAAGGAACTCCAAATATTATACGTACATTGGTCTTCATCAACTATAAAGAACTTGGGGCAAGAAAAGTTGTTAGATGCTGGTAGTGCTGGAAGTATGGAAGTATTACGCACTTCTTGAAGGGATTGGATATGACCCTGTTGGAATAATATAAAGACTGCATTAGACATCACCAGTGTTCATACTGGGTGGTTTGATATTAGACGTTTTTATTTGGTTTATTTGAAAAGAATGAAGAAAAATTAACTTTTGCTAGAATAAAAGAACGGATCCAATATTTAATAAATCTTAACAAGTGGCAGGTTTATTTAAGGAGCCTGAGTCCTCCCCACTGGGCTCCTTTCTCATTGTGGACACACAGCACTCTGGATCACCTTTTGTCTATTAAAAGCCTATTCTCAGCCAGGTGTGGTGGCGCAAGGGAACAAACTTGGGGCCCCGTGTATGCCACGAAGGTACTATACCACTGGGTTACACCCCCAGCTACTTAATTTTAAAAACAGAACTTTTTTATTATATAGCACATTCTTCTCTTTTTTGATCTTTACATAAGGTTTATGTGGCTATCACCAAATTAAAGTTAATTTCTTTTTTTTCAGACAGCTAGTCATTAGTGGTGGCTTAGACTACCAAATAAAAGACATAAATTGTCAAAACAAAAAACAATCACTTTGGCATCTTAAAGATTTAGTAGTTTTCTAGGGCTCTGTAATTTTACCTTCTTTATATGCAAATGGCAGTATTATGTATTAATCACAGAACCATCTTAGACCTGGGAGGAAGTAACAACTACTGATATCCCTATTTAACATGAGAAGCATTCAATGAACATTTAATGAACTAGCCCTTTGCTGATTAACCTTCTTGCGTTTGGTTAATCCTTTCAACTTTCATGGGAGAACATGACAAGAAATAACTTTTTAAAAAGGTGTTACTGTATTTGCTTTAGATATATTATCCATTATGTCTCTTAACCATTATAGGAAGCGTTTCATGAACATTTCAGTTAGAATTAAATGCAAGAAAAGCTTTATTCCTCGTGGAACATCAGTAATTTTCTCCTTTTGAACAAATTCTGTGTAACTATATTTTTCTGTTCACTTTTATCACTATATAAAAGCTCAAGAACAAATTCTGTGCTTAACTATAGCAACTTAGTAGGATCTTAGAGTACATGTAGCCTTTTGTTTATTCACATATATAAACGGAGCCTTTATTTTACAGTTTCACATTCTTAAGGTAGATTTCAATGAAATCCAGTGTGAAATCTTTGATTCTATATGGAAAATCAAACTGAATTCTGAGCCACACCAGAATTTGGCAGTTATATTTAAGACCATTACTTTTGCTAAAATATTTGGAGAGTATATGTTAAATCCACTGAAACTTTAAATTTTTTTTCTACTTTCAATCATTTTAGGTTGAAATAATTTTAAAATGTCAAAATGCTGTCAGGCCAGGTATGGTGGCACGTGCCTGTAATGTGAGATCAGAAAGCTGAGGCAGGAGGATTGTGAGTTTGAGGCCACAACCAGCTCAAAGCCAGCCTGGACTACATAGCCTGATCGTGTCTCCAAAAAAAAAGTCATCAGGTACAAAATAAATACTGAAAATAATTGTTTCCTACTGGAAAATGTCAATTCAGAGAGTAAAGTGTTTAAATTGAAAATTCTAGTAATGCCATAAGGACATGCTCAGGGAATGCATAACTAATGTAACTGAGGGGAGATAAAAACAGGAACCTGTACAAAAATTTTTTAAAAACCCTCTATATTTGTGAATTTTGGAATATGCAGAGATTTTAGGATTTAACCTTTGTGACTACCCAGAAGTTAAAGAAATAAATAGTGCTAAAACCAAACAAAGTGATGGTCTATGTTGAGAAACACAAAATGAACTGTTGAAGCAGTGTAGGGAGGAAGCCTGACTGGGAGAGAAGAAGGAGGGATGGGGTAGGGTGAGCAATGTGACGATTCCCACTGAAGCCGTCCTCGGAGGGGAGATGGGTTGCAGGGCTTGTTGGGAAGATAACACTGTGACTACCAAACAGCAGCAGTGAAGACTGAACTGAAGTCCAAGAACCTGGGGCTCGCACCCGCACCGAACTCGTTTCCTGTGATTGTATGGATACCCCTGCCTGATTTTCTTAGCAAAAATACGATAAAATAAACCTGCCTCCATGACCAAACCTTCCCTCATTAGCCTGACCGGTCAAGTAACTAAGTTCCGAACGAGTGCAGCTTCCTGTTGTTGGCAGCCTGGCGGCACTCACTCTCTGGTCTTCGGGACTCAGCACCGACATCAGCATTTCCGTGTTGTGCGTGCTCCACTCCCAGCTCCTGTTGATGAAGTACTCCAGCATGGAGACGGTTCTGAGGAGTCGGTTCATGAGTTTCGTCACCCTGCGGGAGAGATCAGATAGGAACAGAGAGCCGCGCACCACCCTGGGCCTCTTCCCTGTGAGTGTAGAAAGACAATGACAAATTCTTTTTAAGAAAATCTACCCTTTGTCTCTCCCCTGATTCTTCATTAGCACTCGCCTTTTTTCTCCTTGCATTGTAACCCTCTGTACATGAAGGAGAAGAGAAAACTCTAACAGTGCCCTATTCTACCAGGCATTTTAACACCACCAAATGCTCCCTCTTTCCTACCATGTCTTTCTCAGGAGTGGCAAACTTATTTTACAACAGCCGACCATTCGCCTTCAATGACCTGTTGTTCATTTATTGAATTTTGAGTCAAACAATTGAAAAGCTTGTTTCTCTTTATTGTATGTTCTTGGATTTTTTTTTTTTAATGAGTAGGATCTAAGATTGTAGTACATAATTCGGCAAAAGTGTTGACTATCCTGGTATCTAGTGAACAAAAACAGCTGTTAATTGTAATGCAGATTTCAGGACAAAGAACTTACTGTTGATAACCTACTCTATTAGGTACAGTGCTGATACGTCTAAAAATATTATCTACTAATCTTCCTAACATCCTCCTTGGTGGGTATTTGTCTACATATTTATAAATGGCTAACATAAGCTTAAGGATGTATCACAGCTAAAATTCCAACCCAGTTCTTTTCATGTGGTATTTGTATTTTATATTTTATTTTTTTAGAAAAACATTTATTGGTATATTTTAGATATACATAGCGATAATGTTCATCATAGGGAATTTATGACAATACATGATATATCTTGCTTCTTTTTCCCCCCATCCTCTCGCCTCTCATGTACAAAAGGCTTGTGTAATCTCACTACCTTATGTCCCATTATTTACAAGGGACCACATCTTCCAGTCCTGTGGTCAGAACTTGAACCAGCTGTTCTGTGTGAATCTCCCAAGTTCATAACAACTTATAAAAAAACTTTCATATATGTTCTAATTAGTTCTACACAATGTAACTGTGAGGTACTTGGGACTTACATCCATCCATTTTACAGAAATGTTCAAGGTCACATTGCTATCGGGAAAGTTTGGTTTTTATCTTCCCTAAGCCAGCATTGGTAGCAGTGATTATGACAGTCCACTTAGTAATGGCTGATGATGCTGTTCTGGAGATTTGGACTTATTTCTGGTTAAGTTCTAATGTCCATGCACCTAATGACTCATGAGATACTTCTCCCACTGTGTCACAGAAATTTCTTTGATACAAGTACCAAAATAGGTACAAGTAATGGGTATGAGACATCCTTCCTCTGCCACACCCTTGGGCTAATCCAGATTCTTCCCCTAGCTTCTGTGATGATGAAGATGTCTTCCTTGAGTGTGGGAATGACAATGGGACCAGGAGAGGCCTTTCCCCTGGGAGAAGCTCTCAGGGAGCTCTCCTCGGAAAAGCCGTCACACTTCTAATTAGGATGAACTTTTTGCAAAACCCCAGTGACAGGGTCTTGCTTGCTTTTCTTTTTGAATAGATGATTATTTGCTGAATGTATCAGGCAAGCTCCTTAATGTTATTTTTAAAAATTATGTTGGAGGGTTTTTAATGTACAGTGAGTTGTGGCTTCTCACCTGCCCAGTACTCGGGCTTGAGTCTAGAGTCTTCATACTGAGCTATATCTCCACCACCATCAGCACCATCACCATCATCATCATCATCATCATCTTATTTATCTCGAGGCAGGGTCTCACTAAATTGCTAAATTGCCCGGGCTGTGCTTGAACTTGTAATTCTTTTGTCTCAGTCTCCCACAGTTTTGGGATTATAGGCATGCATCTTCACACCTGGCTGCTTCTACTGCTTTTTGTTCTAAAACTTTGTGTGTGTGTGTGTGAGTGTGTGTGTGACATTCTGTTGTCTCCTGTGATTCTCAGGGGAGGGAAGACTACAGACTCTGGGGCCCCAGTCTCCCAATGCAAGGATACTCTCAAAGCTAGTGGCCTGGCTCCTCACCTGGGCTCCCTCCCGGTGAGCCGGAGATAGCAGTCGTAGATGACAGCGGGGGCCCGGTGGCTGACTGCGTTCCAGTAGTGGGTCGTGAAGTTGGTGGTTGTGAAGTCAGCATTTGGCCTCCTGAAAGCCTTCTCAAATGGGACTTTTTCAAAGGTTGCCAAGACTTGTAATCCTGAGTAAAAAGAGTAAGAGCTTAGCTGCAGATCATAGAAGCCCTTCACATTGGAAGACATCTGCAGTGGATCAAATGAAGACCAAGGATCTGCTGTACAGAGTCAAGAGTCAACTTCTGCAAACAACTTGAAGATTTTTATGCTGGGCAAATGGTCATTTGCAAGTCAAATGATGTTAATGAGCTAAGAATTGAGTCCTTTTCTTGAAACAGTTACTCTCAAACAAATTCTTGGAGAAAAAGTTTCAGCCAATACAAGGAATTGAACTTAATCCATCATTCAATCCCAATGCCATCTAGTCTATTCTGAAGGACCCAAGACAAAGGCTCAGGCCACATTTCCCGTGTTGTGCCATTACTTGCAGAACCATCAGGAATTTCTTAACAGGTTAAGCTTTCTTAAGGTTAAACTTTGTCTCCCTCCTTTCTTTCATTTCTCTTTTGTTTTCCTTCCCCCACCCCTTTTTTTTTGAGATAAAAGTCTCAATTATTATGTAGGTTAACTGAGCCTGGAGCTCACTGTGTAGCCCAGGCTGGACCTGAACTCAAAACTCTCCTGTCCTAGCTGGGATTACAGGCATGAGTGACCATGCCTGGCTAAGCTTTCTTCATAAAGTTTACATAAAACAATACAAAGATGGAGTTTCCATGTGTTGGTTCACTTTAAATACCATTCTTATATTTCTGTGGAATTTCTACTTTTCTGGGTCTATGTTAGACTTAATTTTCCACTAAACTCTCCAGAGATTTTTTAAAAATAATTTTTCGTTTTTATATAATTACTTAAATTAAGCTTAAAACTTAGCTTAAAAATTTTTATGTACATTTGCAAATTAAATAGTTCTCTTCAAATGATATTCATTTAAGTTCAATTTTAGTTTATATAGATTTTCTCAAAGAATGTACCCAAGCTCGCGGTTTAGTTATGGTAATATGATTATTGCCTTTCTGCAAAAGATTTCATCCAGAAGCATATATGAAGATATAGACCTGATACAGAGAAGAAATATCTGGCCCATAGAATACTTGAAAAAAAAATAGCACAGTTCATAGTACAGGTGATTCCAACACTAATATTGACTTTCTGATCTATATGTCCATATACTTGTTCAGCATTTCTACTTGGATATGTAATAAACAAAATCACATTCAATAGCTCTAAAAATTGACCCTTTGATATTCCCACTACCAACCACCTCAGTCCCCACAGATACACCAGACTTTCTTCTATCAATATCCTACCTCCAAGTAATAATTCAGTATTTTTCAGTAGTTCCGTCAAAAACTTTGGAGTCATCCTTATTCTTTTCTTTAAAAACCCTCATACAATGAATACCAAAATCCATTAGCTTTGTCTTTTAAAAATATACAGTCAGAATTTCTACTGCTATCCCTAAAAGGAACCATCACTGTAGCTTAGAATATTGTAATACTGTCCTCAACAGTCTCTTCCACTACTCCTGTGCTTCTACAGTCTGCTTTCCATACACAGCTGGAGTGATTCTTCTGAAATGTAACTGAGGGTACATTATTTCTATGTCCAGAGCCCTTCAGTGGGATCTCTCATTTAGAGGGAAAGCCAAACTCTTCCTGTGGTCAGTGAGACCTCACATTCCCTGCCCCCCATTTCCTCCCCCATCACCCCATTCATTTCCCGCCCTTCGCCCTCCTGGCTTCTTCTTAGCCCCAGCAGCCTGCTTGCTACCCTTGAACATAAAGGAAGAGCTTTAGTGTGTGTTCCTTCAGCAGCGCCCATCACTTCTTGCAGGTCTCTGTCAAGGTGTCCCCTCCTCAGAAACACTTTTCTTGGCCCCACACATCAAACAGCAACTTTATTTTGTCATTTGTGTTTTAGTAGTCTTTAAGCACTTAACTCTATCTGATATATATTTATCCCTACCAGGAGTAAATACCATGAGAACAGAATTTTATCTGTGTTGATACCTTGAGTGTTTGACAAGTGACCACTGTCCAATAAGTAGGTGACTGAATGACTATCTCAGAAACATGTAATTATTTTCTGTTTCCCTAAATCTGTCTTGACTAGTCATTGCCAAAACATCTATGTAAGCACTTAATACTTGCCAGACACTGGAGTAGATGCTGGGAATATATATATTCTTGACCTTAAGGAATTGGCATAGTTATAACTTAGGGCAAAAAATATTAAGATATTGTCATGAACAGTTTTCTGTGAATACATTTTAAAACAGAGCAAAAGACAAATTCTTAAATAATGATTTGTGCAGAAACTGAATGCTTGCAAAATCCTATAAATGTTAAAGAAATTGAAGCAGTAAGAATATTACCATAATAAAACCGGAAATCCAAATGTACAGGTAGTTTTACCAAGGAATGGATTACTCTGATCTTATACAAGCACTTGTAAAGAATAGGGAAAAAAAAGAAATATACTTCAATCCATTCTCTGAAGTCGATATACTAAAGCCAAAATTAGTCAAGAACTATATGAAAACAAAAAAGTGGAATCTTGTTTCACTCAACAAATAATACTAAACAAATTATTAGCAAACTGAATCTAACAGAATATGAAAAAGATAGCATGCTGTGAGCAAGTGGGTCCATCTTTGAGATGGAAGATAGTTTTATATTCAAAAATAGAGAAACATTTGAAGTCTTCTGTTTAAAATTAGGAACATAATAAAAATGCCCACTACTGCCACTTCTATTCAACCTTGTATTAAATGTTCAACAACTACAAAGACTGTGTATGGTAAGACAGGAATAACATAGTACCTCTTTAGATTAAGTAACTATTTACATAGAAAACTAAAAGGAAACTCTGTTCAACTACCTGAAATTCAAGTTGAGTACCCTTTATCTAAAATGCTTAGAAAGAGGTGTTTTGGATCTTAGATTTTTCAGATTTTGAAGAAATGTTGTTTATATATATGTAAAGAGATGTTTTGGGGTGGGACTGAAGTTTAAATGTGAAATTCATTTATATTTCTTACATGCCTTATAACATAGCCTGAAGTTAATTTTATACAATACTATATTTTTATAATTTTGTGCATCAAACAAAGTTTGTGTACATTAGGCCATCAGAGTTGTGAACTCATGTCAGGACTCAAAACATTTTAGATTTGGAGCATTTCAGATTTCAGATATCAGATTAGGGAAGCTCAACCTGTAATAGTTTAGCAAGGAGGCTAGATATACGGTTAATATACAATAGTATACAAGTCAGTTGCAGTTCTATGCACTATCACCATTAGAAAACTTCTTTACAAAAGTCCCATTTAAATTGACAAAAAAGTATAAGTTTCTTGGACCATAGATATAAATCTGATAAACAATGTATAAAACCTATATGCAAAAGATTGACATGTTTATAGAAAAAACATTAATGGAGATAACTAAGTGGAAGATGTTTCATGTTCACCCACCCAGCTGTCAGTCACTCTCTGTGATGTCATTTGAGGTTACAGATGTTGCCCTGCTATGATGTTGCTAGTGAGCTAGGGATCCTCACTGATGCGTTTTGATCATTCCTAATAGTGCAAATGAGCTTCAACTTGAATGCAAAGTCAAATTGGGAATAATGTCCAGATATACTGTGTTACAATGGGTTATCATACAGTCTTGGCACTGGGGGATAGAAAGTCATGATCCGCTCACACTGTCTGTTTGGGTGTGAGAGGAGTAGAGCAGACATGCATTCCAAGTATTTGTCATTCTTGGAAAGAGGTTCTTAAAGTCAAAGCCTATCTTATGACAAGCCATAGTGTCTCACTGCTGCGCAGTAGTCCTCTCACTTTGTTACCATGGCTCACCACTGGAATGTGTAAAGACAGTGTTACCTATGTAACAGAGAAAAGAGAGATGTACCAGTGGGCACTGAAAATCCTGCAGAAGAGGTAAACTGCCTACCTTTATCCTCTGCCAGCATTAGAGGTTTAAATTTATTTCCATGGGTTTTATACATTAAATAAACCCCATCCCTTACATGTAGACAAATCAGTAGAGACTTGGATTTGACATTTTCTTAAAGTAGATTTCTCCAGCTTTAATCATATAGATGCTTATTAAAAACAGGGCTTCTGGAGAGGTGAACCAACACGGCTGAGTAGAGGAGGAGTCAAGCTAGAGGCACTCAGAGAGGATTCACCAGAGCCACAGGAGGGTGGTGGGCAGGGTCTTCACAATGAATCAGAACATTAGTTGGAAAGATTCTACCTGTAAATCAAAGCTAACATCTGGGTCACTAAAGAGGGGAAGCAGAGCGCTACAGCTGGCCACACTACTCAAGCCCTCTGGAGAGAGCTATTATGAGAGCATCCTAATATCTCAGGGAACAAACGAAGAAAAGAACACTGCCGAGGTTGGACACTGGTCGGACTCTTCACCCCATTCCCTCTTCCCCAAATACTGTGGCTGCTGCAGCCTGGCAGCATCCTCACTAGTGCTCACTGAGGACAAGGGAACCTTCCATCCTGGGCAGAGAGAGAATAAACAGGCAAACAGTGCCTAAGGTTTCCCGGGCACACATTCCTGCCCACAGACTTTGCAGTCCCCTGCCTGAGAGCAAACTGCCTGCCCATTCCCACAGCTCCACGCCACCAAGTGGATGTGTTGGTGTCTCCTGCAGATGCCCCGCTGGCACATGAACATGTTCTCAGATTCCCAAGCAAGTACTGGAGTGCAGTGCACTCGATTCCATGGACCTCCACCTACCTACACACCTCACCATTGTGCCTTGAGTGCAGGAAGATTCCTGAGCCAAGCCGAGGACAGAATCAGACTCTGCCTCTGAGCTGAGGGGAGGATTCTTGAGGGTATATTTGTTTCAGTTTTGAGTGCAAGAGAAAAAAGGTGACTATAGTATGGCTGCCTGCAACCTGACCACAAGCAAGGAAGGAAGGAAACTGTGAACACTCAGGCTTTTTGGCAAAGTAGTCACATGTGAATCACATGCACATTCTCTTATTGGAGTGTTTGATATACATATCTGTAGTATATATGTATACATTTGCTTTGATTTAAGGGTGTTTGTTTTCTCTTCAGTCTCTTGTTTAACTCAAGTTTCCATAGCAATACTATTTTCTTATTTTTTACTTGTCTCTCCCAATTTTTAAATTCTTCCTCTCAAGTCCTTAGTTTGTCATATTCTGCCACCAGCCACTACTATCTCCTCTTGCATTAGCAGTCTGTTTCTCTATTCTATTTCTTTCACTGTTCCTTATCTTTCCTAGTCCCATGTCATTCTTTGCCTCTTTTCCACTTTATAGATGCACAAATATATCAACAGATTGTGACAACCTCAAAGCTTTCCTTAATCCCAAGGTACACCTCCCTCCTGCTACATCCCATCCTTGCCCCTGCAAATATCTTTTAAAAACCTTCAACATCAACCCTTCAACCCAACTAAATGAACTTTAACAGAATTCGAGCTCTTATCTAATTTTTTCAGTTGTTTTCTGTTTCCTAGTACTATTTCTCCTGTCTCCCTCTCCCTCTACTGACTTGAACTCCTTTTTTACCCATTCCTCCATCTCTCCTCTCCAGTTCTCCTTCCACACTGAATGCAGGCTCCAAAGAGCACTGACAAGGGTGAAAGTATAAATGCAAAGTCTACCACACAGAAGCAAAGGACAATCGCATCTGTTGATGCTCGTATAACCACAAGTAATTGTTTCCTCAAAGCACAGGGACAGAGTCTAAATCACTTAAATTAAGTAGCTGAAGGAGTATATAATATCTTTGGGAAAATAAAACTGAAAACACATCGCAGGAAGGCAGTATTTTACTAAAAAGATCAGATGAATTGCAAGCTGTCCTAACCCTACTTGGACTCAATTCCCAGCCTTGAAAACAAAAAAAAAGGAAAAAAGGGGGAAGGGGAAAGAAAACCATATACATAGGAATATGGGAAAACAAGGCAAAAAACACCCCCAAGGTTTCTCAATTCCCCCAAGGCATATCCAGGGGCTACCCATGGAAAGGAAAGCAGAGCTTTACAAACTGATTAAAGAAGAGTTAAGAAACTTGGTGAGTTCAAAGAGGGTATGACCCAAAAGTTTATGGAATTATCATACAAAATGATCAATGGGAATTTGGGGGAAGCAGATGAAACACTGGAAAAGCTGACCAAAATGGTTCAAAACATGAATGACAAATTTATCAAAGATATAGAGTCCAAGAAAAAAAATTTCAGACATAAATATTAGATATAAAAAATTATATGGAACTCATAAATTGCAGAAATGACCAAAGGGAAGATGGTTTCTGAAATCAAGGACAAAATGGCAAATTATGACAAATTACTGAAACCTCAAAAAAATAAGTGAACAAGAAAAAATTCATCAATAGCTACTAGACGACACTAAAAAGACCAACCTAAGGCTAATTGGAGTTAGAGAGAAACTAGAAGACAGCACACACAGAATAATAATTTGTTTACAGAAATCATAGTAGAAAATTTCCCCAAGTATGAAGAAAGAATTCAACATTCAAGGAAGTGAGACTTATAGAACACCAAACAACTCCAATGTAAAATGAAGCTCCCCATGACACATTATAATTACAGTGTCAGATGTCCAACAAAAAGAATCTTAAAAGCTATGAGAGAAAAGCAAAAAATCACATAGTTAACTCATTAGAATTACAGCAGACTTCTCAACAAACTTTAAAGATCAGAAGAGCTTGTAGTGAAGTATTCAAAGCCCTAAAAGCAAACAACTTTCCCCAATTCAAAAATGGGCATCTGAAACAAACAGACATTTCTCAGACAAAGAAGTAAAAGCAGCAAGCAAATATATGAAAAAATGTTCAACATCACTGGTCACTTGAGAGATGCAGATGAAAACAACACTGAGATTCCACCTCACCCCAGAAAGAATGGCTGCGATCAAGAAATCAACCAATAACAAATGCTGGCAGGGCTGTGGGGAGAAAGGAACCCTTCTCCATTGCTGGTGGGAGTACAGACTGGTGCAACCACTGTGGAAATCAGTATGGAGATACCTCAAAGAACTAGGACTAGAGGTCCCATTTGATCCAGCTATTCCCCTGCTGGGTATCTTCCCAAAAGAATTAAAAGAATCATACCACAGCAATACATGTGCACCCATGTTCATAGCAGCGCAGTTTGTAATAGCTAAAGCTTGAAAGTAGCCCAAGTGCCCATCAACTGGAAACTGGATAAAGAAAATGTGGTTTTATATAAAATGGAGTACTACTCAGCCATAAAGAACAAAAAACTAGAGTCATTTATAGCTAAATGGATGCATATTGAGGCCATACTCTTAAGCGAAATAAATAGGACACACATGTGTAAATACTGAATAATTTCTCTAGTGTGAGAAACTGATAGTGTATACAAGGGTTAAAATGATTAAAATGAATAATTGATAATTGAAATAGGAAAAAAGATCCAAAGATGAAGGGGTGAAGGGAGGGAAAGGGGAAAGGAAAAGAGGGAAAGGAAAGACTATGAGAAAAGAAAAAAAAATGGAAATGATGTCTATGTAAATAGGGAAGGGCGGAGGGGGTGAAGGGTGCACAGGTAATGGGGAAAAAATAAGAACCAAGATACATCATATACAGGTACAAGCACCCAATGATAAATGTAAACGGATTGTATACCTAAAATGTACCAATAAAAGAAAGAAAGAAAAAAAACAAACAACTTTCCTCCCAGATTAACATATCCAGAAAAACTTTCCTTCAAAATAGATAAAAGGACATTCCATGAAAAAGAACAACTCAAGAAATGTATGAATTCCAAACCAGCACTCCAGAAAATACTGAAGACTATCCTAGACCGATGTAACAAAGCCAACAAAGCTGAAAATCCAGATGGAATGAATACATCAAACAAGGTGAATAGAGAAACAAAAAAGGAGTCATCAACAGAGGAAGAATGCAATGGCGGGAACCAATCTATACTTCTCAGTAATATTTCTCAAAGCCTCAATTCTCCAATTAAAAGACACAGATAGGAAGACTGTATCAAAAACCAGAACTGTTGCATTCAGGAAACTCACCTAATGCAAAAATATCTATAGGCTAAAAATCACAGGGTGGAACACAGTTATTTCATGTATCAGAACCTCTAAAACAAGCAGGAGTAGCAATTTTACTCTCAAAATAAACCTCAACCTAAAATTGGTCAGAAGAGACAAAGAATGTCACTACATACTAGTTGAGAGAATAATTCAATGAAAAGAGATAACATTTGTAAATATATATGCATTGAATACTTGAGCACCTATCTTCATAAAACAAATGCTGATGGACATAAAAGATCAAATAAACACTAACATAATCATAGTGACCTCAATATCCCACTTTTGCAAAGAGATAGATCAACTAAACAAAAAAATCAATACAGAACTATCAGAGCTGAACCACACCTTTAAACATATGGATTTAATATCTACAGAGTGTTCTACCCTAATACAACAGAGTACAAATTCTTCTCTGTAGCACATGGGCTTTAAAGCCCACTCAAATAAATATAAAAGAATTGAAATCATCCCATATTTACTATCAGGCCACTGTGCAATGAAGCTAGAAATCACTCACAGAAGAAACCATGGAAAATTTGGAAACACCTGGAAATTTCATACCACACCCCTGAACATACAATGAGTCACAGAAGAAATCAATGAAGCAATTAAACAGCTTCTAGAAGCAAAAGACAATGCCAGTATAACACACCAGAACCTATGGGACACAATGAAAGCAGTCCTAAGAGGGAAGCTTATTGCAATCGATGATTACATTAGAAAAACAAAGTTAACTCAAATAAATAACCTAATGAAGAACCCTGAAATGCTTGGAAACAACAACAATCCAAGCCCAAACCAAAATTAAAGAGGAAAATTATAAATAGCAGAGCAGAAATTAGTGAAACTGAGACTTAACAAAACAATATAAAGATTCAACAATTCGAAGAGCTGGTTCTTTGAAAGAATAAACAAAATAGATAAACCCCTAGTCAAAATTTCCAAGAGAGAAAAGACTCACATCAATGCTATTAGAAATGAAAAAGGCAAAATCACAATGGACATTATCAAACTCCAGAAGATAGTAGAGACTATGAAAACTTGCATTCCAAAAAATTAGAAAATCTTGAAGAAATGGACAAATTCTTCGACTCATATTATTTTTAAAAACTAAACCAAAAAGGTATAAAAATTTTGAACAGTCCAATAACAAGCAATGAAACTGATGCAGTAAGGAAAAACCTACCAACTTAGAGTCCAGGACCTGCTCAATTCTCCTAAATCTTTAAGGACATTATATCACCAATATTCCTGAAACTCTTCAGTGCAATTGAAGAGAATCAGTGCTTCTAAACTCATTTCTGGAAGTCAGTATCACTCTGAGCCCAAATCCAGACAGCGACATAACTGAAAAAGAAAACTACAGGCCCATCTGCTTAATGAACATAGATGCAAAAATCTTCAACAAGATATTGGCAAATAGAATGCAGCACATCATCAGAGGGGCAAGCTCTTCTAACCCTTGATTATTCACATTCTCAGTGGTACACCAAGAGACTGAAAGCAACTTGTGCAAAATCAGTTCCCCAGCAGGGAGGACTATTGATTCACTGACACTGTTTACTTTCGCTTGATTTTATTATTGGTTTTCAATGTTTGTAGCCAATAGACTCCTTACTCCTTAGAATCATACATATGTTCCCACCGTCTGCTCTCTTTGGCACTCCATAATACATTGTCATTAATTTTGACACATTTATCATTTGCAGGCACTTTGTTTCTTTACTTACTGTTTTCAACTCTCTTCCTGACTGGGGTCTCAGCTCCACGACCCATGCTGTCTGTGTGTATCCCTGTGACAAACACTGGCAGCTTTGCAGGTGCATTACCAGAGACACTTACCCATTTTGAGCCAATTACAGGGATTGAGGTTACCAGATGTGCAGTGGTAGATTAATGTTGATTTAGGTCTGGAAGATGAAATAAAAATTAGAAAAATACAACAAAATGGAAAAGTAATGAAAGAGAAATAAGGGGAGATAACAAGACAGAGTAGTTTCAAAAACTCCCATGACTAAAGCAGTCTGTTAAAAAGTCCTGTCTTTTATTCCTTCTTTGGGTCAATATGCAATATGAAAGATTAGGAAAACTGTGTATGTGTAAAAGACATCAAATAAGTATGAGAGCCTGGAGAGGATATATGTCTGAGCTAGTGTAAGAAAAATTTAATTCTGTTTATCACTTACTAATAGAGCCAAATAAATAAGCAACCTACTTTTTGCTTCCTATTAGGAAACTTCCTCCCACACAGTAACCCAAGCTTTTGGCATTTACCAGGAACTGAGTCGTTCAAGGAAATATAAAATATGCCAACATTTCATCAACTTTTATCATCTCCTTGCCTTAAAAAAATGAAGCTGTTGCACAGATTACTGAATAGAAATAAAAGTATTTTGGGCATCAAGAATTTCATGGTTACATGATTTTCAGAATACACTGTTTCATGATTAACCAAATACTAAGCAGTATTTATACAACAGCTTAAGGCATATGTGGTGGTATACTGGGGACTGTATAAACATGGAAAGAGACATTTCATCATACTAGGGGTCTTCTACGATGGAGTGTCTGTATTTTGAAAAGGAGCCTAACATATTTGCCCCTTTCTTCATCACGTCTTTGGAAGACCACTCTCCATACCTGTGTACTGCAGTATACCACCCTGCTGCTAAAGTGAGATTGACAACTGTATCAGCTGGTATCAAATCTGCAACAGCCATTGGAGTAGCTCTTATGGCCCGAAGAAACCCTTTCCCAGCCTGCACAGGAAAAAGAAGAGCTGTTAGCAAAAACAGCCAACATTGATTTGGTGCTGCTTGCTAGGTTATTATGTTATGTTTGACCTGCCAGCCTATTCAACTTTCCCAGCCAAGTTAATCTAAAGTCCCACCTTTTCTGGGAACCACTAGTGGTCATTGGGTTCTTTTATGGAATAAAATTGTCAAATTTGAAAGAGTTAATATACATAATTAAAAAACTTCTGCACAGCAAAAGAAACAAGCAAGTGCAAAGAAAACTCATAGAATGGGAAAATATTTTTGCCAGCTACTCCTCAGAGGATTAATATCTAGGATATATAAGTAACTCAAAAATATTAGACCTTCCCAAAATAAAAGACTCAATCAAAAAATGAGTATGTGAAATGAACAGATATTTCTCAGAAGAAGTACAAATGGCCAATAAATACATAAAGAAATGCTCAACCTTGCTGGCCATTAGAAAGTGCAAATCAAAACAACCCTGAGATGTCATTGTACCCAGAAAGAATGGCTAAAATTGAGAAACCAAATAGTAACAAATCCTGGCAAGGATATGAGGGGAAAATGAACCCTTCTATTCTGCTGGTGGGAATGTAAACTGGTATAACCACTATGGAAGTCAGTGTGGCGATTCCTCAAAAAACTAAAACTAGAATTTCCATTCAACCCAGCTAGTCCCTTTCTAGGCATCTTTCCAAAAGAGCTGAAGACACTGTATTACAGGATACATGCATATTCATATTTATACAGCACAATTCATAATGCTAAATTTGTGAAGCAGTCCATATACACATTTATGGATGAATGGATAAAGGAAATGTGGTATTTACACATAATAGAATACTATTCTGCCATAAAAAAAAACGAATCATTTGTAGGAAAATTGATATGCTTTGAGACCATAATGTTAAATGAAATAAACCAGACACACAGACTTAAGTACTGTATGTTTCTCTTATATGAGAAACCCTAATTATACAAGAAAGAGCAACATAAAAGGTAAATAATAGTAATTAGGGAGATAGATCTCTCTGAAATGGGAAGGGGATCAAGAGAAGGAAGGAAGGGAAAGACAGGAGGAGAGGGGATGCAAAAAGGAATGAAGATGTGTTATGTACATGCACCAATTCCACACAAGGAATGTAGACATTATGCCCTGCAATCTGAGCCAAGAAAATAAAGAAGCACCATGAATAGATTGTCACATCTTAAAAGTTAATTCATAGCATATTTTAAGAATTCAGGTTTCCTAAAATTATCATGATGCTTTTTTTTTTAACCACTTCATAAGTGACTGTTTTCTCCTAGTGCTTTTATTAACTTACAAGCACTAAAAGGTTAAGAAACACTTATCTGGAAAAAAGATAATTAATACAATTCTATCATTTAATAGAACAAAATCTGTTTTCAGAAAAACACAATTATTTACTTTTTTCTTTTTATTCAGTATCTTAGTTCACTTCAAGATCACTGATGCAAGAATATAAGATGCAAGAATTGGGAATTATTCATATTAATAATTTATAGACTTTATGAAGTATGCTGATTCTTTATGCTTTGCATTTTTCCACCATTCATTTGAAATTATTAGCACTTTCTTATGTTTCTAATTTATTTTCCTTGTAATGGATTTCCCTTTTCTTGAACATAAGAAGCCAGTTTTTGGAAAATTTTAGAAAATTTGAGTAAATGTGCAGCTTTGCAATATAGGAAAATCCATTCTGGGCCCATGTTAAAATAATGATGTTCTAAGTCATCAAACGTTTCTTGCCAGCCACCCACGTGGTAAGGAGGGGGTTGAATGCAGGTAGGGAACAGAAAGAGAAGCCCAGAAGAATCAGGGGCAGAAGGAAGCTCAGTCACTGCCTTTGGTAAGCCACAATTGACTATTTTATGTTTGCATCTTAATTCATGTTGAACATAGTTTGGGAGGAACAAAGAGCATGTTCACTTTAAACTTATTTAGAGAACTCAATTTCTATTTAGTGTCCAAAAAGCAAAGTCATAGTTCTGGTCCTCAGCTACCTCACTGTAGGCTGACATGGGTCATCTGGCCGCAGGCAAATGCACGTCAAGAGCAGGGTGGTCTCTCCAGGTCCAGAGGAAGGGCTGGAAACTGCTTCCTGTAGATACCAAATTCCACCTCTGAAAGGTGTTCTGTGACTCACTATGCTCTGTCCTGGATCTGTCAAGAACTGGTAATGCTACATGTCTGCCTTATCTACACACACCCTCAAACACTTACATATGGTTAAATCAGGAATTTGATCATCTTTGAGGATAAGATTTTTTACTGTCTCCCCACTTTGGTTCACTAATCGAAGCTATTAATAAAAGTGGAAAAGAGAAAATACCTCCATCTTGTGGTAACTAGAGGAAAATGCTTGATGTTCATTTTCCAAGACAAAATTCCTGAACAGTAATTGATAACACATTACCTCCGTTTTCCTGATAAAGCCTCACAGAATAAAGGTAATTTCATCCCATGTGTTTTTTCAATCAGTAAAGTTGAGATAAGCAACTTCAATTGTTGTTAGAACAGTAATATGTGTGTGCTAAGTTCACATTAAGAATTATGTTACTATTCTTCCATGACATTTCAAGGGGTTACTTGCCCATTGTTATACATACCGCAATAATGAGTCCACTGGGTCCATTCAGGTTATCAACCCAACCCTGAACAAAAGAAGATCTCTGTTGGTTATGTGTTTCAGAGAATCATTGTCTTTGGAATATCTGCAACTTAATCTTCATAAATTGCAAACCAGAACACAGAGACCCCAGCTAACAGAACACAGTACTAATGCAGTATTTCTAAGATGCCAAACAAAGATCAGTGGCAAAGTACTTGTTATTCTATGTACTTCACCTGGCTGTGCAAAATATAAACTTTGTTGGGAGTGATTTTCATACCAGTCTCCTGTTGTTTTATATCATGTTATGGGCTAAATTAGAATTTGCCTTAATATTATGTTTTGCTTATCAATTGATCAAATATTGTTTTTTCTTCATCTGAGCTCTTATTTTAAACTCAAAACATTTCAGAAATGATTTATAGGAATTACTTATTTCTTGAAAACTTTAACATGAACAGAGTCCATATAATGTATTTTTGGTGGGGGCGGTGTCAGTTTGCTTGGAGATATCAGAGGAAAGATAATATTTAGGCATAGTTGGGGGAAATGTCTTTTTGGGTTTGTTTCCTAAGCCTTAAGCTTAGTCTGTTATTTTATCTATAAAAGTCAAAACTCGTGCGTGTAATGGGAGCGAAGAGAAGAGAGAGAAGATGAAGAGCCTGAAACAAACACTGAATTTTGCCATCATATAATGGATTCTCATTTGATTTGCTACATTCAGAAATAAAGCCCAAGGACGAGAAGAAGTGGATAGGGGCTGGGAGGCTCACAAAGAAATGGAGCCAGAAAGGCCTGGCTCAGAAGCAAAGCAGGCACACGGGAGAGCCTGCTTACTGGGAAGGGCTCCCGCCAGGTGGCCCCCACGATGGAGGGCCTGATGATGGCGATGTTCACGTTCGCGCCTTCCTGCTGCACCACAGTCTCGCCCAGGGCCTTGGTATAGGTGTAGGTGTTGGGCCAGTCCCTGATCAGCTTGGGAGTGATCTCATCAATGATTGCATCGTCCAACCACCTGAAGACAGAGAAAACGTGTTCCAGCAACATGTGCTACATAACAGAGCACAGAGAAAACGTGAGACACAGGTAATCACACATAGCTTCCACATTCAATAGAATTGAATGAAAAAAATGAAATCCCTGCTACTAGAAACGCAGAAATGCAAGACATGATGCCTATGCCTACTCTAACCTGTTATCTGACTAACTATAGTGTGACCACGTATAGAGAGCAGTAGCTGTGTCATTCTGGGTCTCCCCCACAATAACAAAGAAGTGCTTTTTGTTCTTTTGCATCTGCTGCTGCACCCCTGTTCTAGTTGTCATGCCACTGTATCTTGAGTGATGGCTGCTGGCTACCAGTACTGATGACTCTAACTGGGGGCCCTACTCCTCTCCCACATTAGTATTATCACTAACTGTGTTACAATTCCCAAAGCCCACTCTTCTTGATGAAAACAAACAGGAAACAACCAACAAAACTCACACAGGCACGCCCACACGCACATATGGCCCTCCTTCAATGCATCCACTGCCTGCAGGATTGAACACCAGGCCTCAAGATGCCCACAGGGTAGACCCAGCCTACCTTCCCTTCCTGCATGATCTATCTGCCTCCTCCACCTTGAGTATGTGCTGCTACAGTGGACTTCAGCTATTTCCCTGCCATGCCCCGGGTTTCATGCTCCAGGTGCTCTGCCTAGAACAGGCCCCATCTCAGCTAGCCTACCTTGGCCTCTCTTCCAGGCCCAGCTCAGACATTCTGTGGCCACCCCTCCTGCCCTGCTCCTGCAGGCTTCATGTGCTGCATCCTTCCCTCTCGCAGCAGTGTGTGTAATTCTACCCTGCTCTTGTGGGTTGGTTTCAAGCTCCTTGAAAGTCTGTATTTTAAGAAAGTGCCTTTTATTCTCTGGGACTGCCTGGAATGTAGGCATAGTGGAAAGACCCCAGCCTTCAGAATCGGTGTCTATGGATAAAGACTGTGCCTGTGACTTAACCAGCTAGGGGACTTCTGAAAAGCAGCTTAGCCCACCTGAGTGTCTTGCTCTTTTATTAGCATAGCAGCAATACTAACATCAACCTGACAGCATTACATGAAGGAATGAAATGTCTGTGAGAGTTTCTTGTTCACATAATTGTTCAGTTATGGATCATCTCCCTCCCTCTCTTCCCAAGTCATGTCAACTACTCATTTAAGTATGTTAAGGCAGTAAATACTTGGATACAATGTCATGTAGGTCCTAACTTGAGTGACAACAGGTTTTTATACAGGTGCAAATGCCCTTTTCTTCTAAGCTAGTTACCCTAAGACTTACCTTGGCCTGAAAAATACAGAAAGCACAAAACCCTACCTTTCCTGGCCTGTTCTATGCATTTTTAAAAAGAAATATTCTACTTAAACTGTTATTCTGGAAAACTGAGATCTCACAGGCAACCCCTGATCTCTTTACATACTGAAATTTCTAAAGGAAAATAGCACTGAACATATAGAGAGGAGTCGTAGAGAGGAGGAGACAGTAAGAAGGGCGACCCCAGGCTGAGTACAGAAGGTCTTCAGGGAGGAGGGCAGAGACATGAGGACCAGAGCTGGAAACAGGAGCTGCTCTGTATGGGAATCATCGTTTGCACCATGCTGGGTAAAAGGATTCCTAACTCCTGTTTCGGCTGTTACGAAAGTGTGTTTATACCACTGTACCCAGGTTTTTGTATTAACACAATCCAACCTCATCCTTCTGGAACTGTTCCGGACCAGAGTAATTCTGGAAGTTTCCAGACCGGAGCTGAAGGCAGGGAGCAGAGGCCTAAGAGTGGGAGGCTGCTGGACAGCAGAACAGGGGCTGAGAGAGACATCTGGGACTGTGAGGGATGGGCCAGGGTGGCAGGGTGGGGCTCAGGCACACAAAGCTGTTCCCTTCCTAGCAACCCTGGGCTGTGCCGCTCTGGCCTGAGCAACTGGGAAAATTCCTGATGAAAAAAGTGCAAGTCCTCTTTTATTTCCTGGAACTGGAGTCCTGTCCAACTCATTTTCTGGAAAAAGAAAGGACCATTTAACATTTCCTTGGGTGATTTTCTTGAGCGCACAAAGCCCAGAGCACAGATTCAAGACCCATCTTGTTGCTGACTCCTGACTTCTTCCTGAAAATAGAGTAGGCCACTGGAGTAGGAAAAGCAATGACAGGTGCCAACCCTCCTCTGTTACTCCTGATAAACACTTCCAAAGAACAGAAAACTAAAAGCCCCAGAAAATAGCTTTTATTTTAAACACAAATCAATAATTAGAAGAGAAATTAGAGAAAAAACATTTTATTTTCTCTCTGTCTCTCTCTCTCTCTGTCCCTCTCTTTTGGTGGTACCGGGGAGTCTTCACGTTGAGCTAATGAGCTACATCCTCAACCCTCTAAAAATACATTTTTTAAAAATGTTGAGACAGGTCTCAGTTGCTGAATTGCTCAGGGTTGGCTCAAACTTGTGATCCTCCTGCCTCAGCCTCCCAGAGTGTGGGGATTATGGGTGTACAGGACCGCTCCTGGGTGGACAAAATATTTTCTTAAGGCAAAGCAAATAAGTCTGGGTAGAAATGAATTAGTAATAGTCGAGCACCCTTACCTGGAAAATCCGAAATACAAATGTAAGTTATGGTGGATCTTAACTTGGGTACCTCCCCCTTCACATGTACTTGAAGCCTAAAGGAAGTGCTGAATACCTGAAGCTAAGTCCTCTCCCCCTCCCCTGGGAAGTGAGTTGATTCTGTGAAACCGAGGGTGCTGGTGTCTGGTCACAGCTGGGGAGGGAGGAGAGGAGTGAAAGACTGTGGCCTGTTGGGCGCTACAGGGCCACAGTGCAGCAGGTGTGGGCGTTCAGGGCCAGGTCTGCAGTCAGAAGCTCTCCTCTTGGGGTCTCTCCGACATGTAGAAGGTGGCGACACTCACAGGGGACAGCACAGGTAAGGCACGGCTAGCGGACAGATCTATTCTGTCCTGAAAACGCTCTGGGATTTTCGTAGACTCCGGGCATGGCAGCACCCCTGCCTTCCTGCCTTCTCTCTTGACAAATTAAGGCTCTGAAACCGCAGCTATTTGCAACACCAAGGCACTCCAGATCCTTTAGATGACTTTCATTCTCCTCTGTCTTGGATGTTTCTAAATGACGGGTAAAAATATCCATTCTCAGAGCTGGGGGAGATAAAAATGTTTGTCCTGAAGGCAATGAAGTCTTCATTTAGCTAAAGCCTTGTAAAGAAGATATTTTAAATATAAACACAGTGTTATATGACTTACAAGGGGATAAACTCACTGAAGTAGTCATTTTCCCCAGCTATAATATTTTCATGCAGTTTTAAAAAACAAAATACAAGGTAAAGTTAGTAAAATGGAGCAGAAGAACAAAGCAGCAGAAAGCAGAAATATATTTGAGACAAAGCTGTGTCCCAAGGAGAAAGTGGTTTCTTTTAGTTGGTAGGAAGAGGAAATGCAAGAGACCTCACCGTCAGACAGTAGGGAGAATATATTTCAGCTGAGTATATATTTGGACCATTGCCTTCTGCCAGATCATGGAGGAATTATTATCCCTTACAGTTCTCTGTTACTAACCACTTGGTTAGCTTAGCTGCTTATAAACATTAATTTATCATCACTACTATACAATGGGCCCATTTTACCTACGATGCAGTGGGAGCTCAGAGAGGCCAAGGAACTCACTTCAACTCACACAGCTAGTAAGTTGTGGAGCCACAGGGTGAACCTATGTTCCAACATTTTTCTCCTGAATCTTGATACTCTATATTTCCTTTATCTAGGGACAATGTCAAGTTCATCAAGAAGTGAGAAACTATGTCAAAGAATCCAAGAGAACAGCTGCTGGCCCACCCCTGACCCTACTTACTCCATGGATTCAATGATTTTCTTTGGCTCTACAGAACATGGATAGATCACTTCATCTATGTGCTTCAGGTTGCAATTAGAAAAGGCTGTGGAGAGGTGTATGAAGGCTTCGAGCTTGGACATCTGGCTGGCCATCAACAGGAGGTGCTGGGTGGCAGTGACGTTGAGCTGCACAGCGTGTCTGCAGAGTAAACAGGGAGACACAGTGAGAGACCATGCCAGGAACCCCCAGCCACTGGGACTTGGGCGCCTGCCTTAAAGAACCAAGAAGAGGATGGGCCATGGCTACAAAGTTACGTGATACTTGGAGTTGTTACACGTGGATATAGTTTTGTGTACAGAAACCATAAGGAAAGGAATCTCACACTTGTACACACATGCCATGAGAAGAACCCCGGAATGTACCTCAGATGGTCATCAAATCGTACAGTGGCCGCACAGTGGAAGATAATGTTGGTCGAGGACAGAAGTTCCTCCATGTCTTCCTTGGTGATGCTGAAGTCATGCTGGTTGAGATCTGCACTAATCGGCCTGATTTTCTCATGCACATTTGGACATATTTCTTTGACTTTCTCAAACAGCTGAAACGTAAATAGAAGTTGGTACGGAAAGGTCAGCACCACCACATGGTTCCCGGTGCACTGCTTTGTTTATTATACTTCTTAGAAACTGGCTTTAGTTGTGATGCTGATGTTATCCCAGAAGGTGTCTACCTATGCAAGAGCTACCTCCTTTACTCCATGTGGTTCAGGCAAGTTAGTCTAACTCCTGCCTCTCTTAACTTGAGAAACATTTTCAATAGTTCACTCCAATAACCAGCCAGGGGCAAAGGCGTGATAGGTAGTCATCCATATCCTGCCTTCAGTCTCTTCCTCACTCTCAGACTCATGTTTACTCACGGTGGAGACAGTTTCTAGTTTGGGCTGGTAAATTATTGTTTTCAATGCAAAATTACCAGCTTTTACAAATCACTAGCAGTATTACCAACAACTTGGTTAACTCAGATCAACAAGATGCTTTAGCAGTCCAAACATAACTAGAAAATAAGAAATCTAGCCAATTTGTAATGGGTGAAACAAAAATTTGATGTAATCTCATTCTAAAATAAATGGTAGTTTATGTTTATTATGAGAATTACACAAGCTCATGTGCTTTTTATAGGATTTAACTGATTTTTTAATATTCTAATTTATTTATAAAATGAAAAGATAATAAATACATTCTCTGCTTTTTCTTCCATGCAGAGATTCTTAGGTTAAATTGGTATTTTTCCATTGTCTCAGAAAACACAGTTTTAATAAAAATGGTCTTGGTTCTGGCCTATTTTGATAAGAGAAAATTTTGCTGAAGAATATAAACATTTACAGTTAGAAAGGTTAAGAGAAGGGAAATTTAGTCTGTGGTTTCAAACATAATATAGTAGTAACAGGGACAGGTCTGTCTCCCCTGTACTCCAAATTAAGCTTTCATAATTCTTTTTTGATTCTTAGGATCAGGCTTCTTCCCTCCACTGGAGAGCTGTTCCCAGGATTTGTTTTGTTTTGAGAATAATACAAAATTAAATCAGGTTACCAAAGAAATCATGTTGCATCTGAATCAGGCAAGACCATGTTCAGAGGCCGTCCTGGGAACCCAATGAGGAAGATCAGGGAAGGGAGGCAGATTCACATGCGGATTGAGTAAGCCAGCATACTTATATCTCTGAACTACTGTTTTTTTGCACTATTAGGCCAGCCCTTTCTGTGGGTATTACTGAAGTTCTGAAAATGACTTAGAAATTAGGTCAATCCTGAGTGTTTGTTTGACACGGGGAATTGATAAGGTAGACAAAGTGTCCTTGGCAGGTTCTCAACAGAGTTCCTTCCGGCTCTTCTAGAACCATTCTGGAAATGGTTCTTCTAATGTTAATTATACAACAAGCATATGTTGGATATTTTGGTAGGTTTTTTTTTTTGGTACCAGCGATCGAACTCGGGACCTTGTGCTTGCAAGGCAGGCACCAGAACCACTGAGATAAATCCCCAGCTGGTATTTTGGTAGGTTTATGAAAAATTTGTGCAGTTACCATTTAATAATTGTGTAGAAGGCTCTTCTTGAGTCTATATGACAGGCATTATTTACTAGAAATTTATTTAGGATTCTGTGGACTCTGACTTTGGTCTGTTGTGAGATCTGGTTCCAAGAGAGGAGCAGAATCTGGGTGAAGGGTGGAGCCTGCTTTTGGAATAACAGAGAGGCCCTGAACTTGGAATCCTATCACTTGGTGGTTATCTTTAGGCCATCACAAAGTGGTTATCCACATGACCTCCCTTTGAGAGGATCCGCCAGAGGCTGGTTTTTACTTTTTGCAGGTCGCTGAAGCTAATCCTGTCTTTTTTTATCATGCGAATCTTTGATCTTCTTTCATATTGCCAGATCCATTTCTTGAAATATGACCATATTGGGGCCAGGGATTTAGCTCAGTGGTTTCGCCGCCTGCTGTACAAGCGCAAGGACCAGAGTTCGATCCCTGGTACCAAAAAAAAAAAAAAAGAAAAGAAATATGACCATATTGGTCCACCTCAAGAACACACAAGAACTTGCTCAGTATTTTTATTTGGTGAAAAAAGGGTAAAGTCTTTTATACCAAAGTACAATCTGTGGAATATCTGGCACTCCAAAAGTAGACAGTAGCCTTAGGGAATTTCTAGAATGATGAATAAAGGCAAATCAAAAGATTGTGCAAGTTAGCTCTAATCTGAGAACAACATAAAACAAATAAGTAGCTGTAAGTCAAAGCAGAAAAAAACCCATCACACCTTATGTACAGTTTCACACAAAAAAATCACAGAATGTTAGGATTTTGCTAGTTTATTAGTAATTCCTGTGCGATGTAATGAACCAACCTGCCAGTTTTCTTGCATCAGTGCAGACCATTTCTATAAAAGTGTAAGTCAGGGTGGTAAAGAAGTATGGTTATTAAACTTAGGAATTTAGCAGGGATGCCTGGCCAGTTGTGGGAGAGTCTCACTCCACTGTGCTGAAGTGAAGCTTGGGCACTCTGCACATGTGCTCGAGCATTCTGACACACACTCCAGGTAGAAGTCACTGGTGTGTTAGACAGAGCTCAAGCCCTTTGGAGACATGAAGGACTGGGTATGGTTTCTGATTCTGTCACGTACTAGTTACATAACTGGAGCAAGTTACTAACCTTTCTTTCTTTGCATATTTATCCTAAAATTCAATCATGTGTTATTTTGTGATCTCAGTGATTAAGCATATATCATGCTGTTCTTAAAAACGAAGTTGGCATTTAACAAATTTTAGTTCACCTTACATAAAAATCAATAATAAATGCCAAGGGCAACATAATGTTCTCATCTTGTTTATTGCCACACCAAAAGTGGGTTTCACAGAGTTCTTCTCCTTGGGCAAGGAAGGAGTTAGCGTGGCTAAGAAATGGAAACCAACCTTAAGATTATTTCTATTCTTTAATAGGATCTGGTGGCTTCTCTGCATTATCCATGTTAAATGATGAAAAAAGCCATCCTGGTGACAAAGGCCTGCAACCTCAGCACTCTGGCAGACCGAGGCAGGAGAATCACAAGTTAGAGCCCACCCAGCCTAAGCAACTTAGGGACAAAAAAAAAAAGATGGAAAGAATACCCACAAGTGGCAAGTAATCATTCTACCTTCTTAACAATGCTGTCACCCAAAGAAGCAATGTCCTTGGTTGGCAGTGCAGTGCAGTTCTGAACATGGGGTTTGGAGAACTGCACTCAAACGATGCATCCCTTCCTTGGCCCTGATTCCATGACCTTGGCTAGAGTAGAACTTTCTTGGACTAATTTCTCATCTGCGATAGTAAGAGTAGGCATAACACAGGGATTTGTGAGAATTAAACAGAATAATGAAAACTGGATGCTTGGCCCAGTGCCTGCCTCTTGGTATATTCTTAATTATCCTTAAAAACAGGGAAATCTCTTTTCTGCTTCCACAGTACTTCATTTCCAAAAGCTGTTAATTAGAAAGGTGTGTGTGTGCGTGCGCATCACATTAGGTCATGCAAAGGTTTCCATGTGATCCAGACATTTCTGAGAGCTTAATGTATTCCAGAACCATGTTGAAACCTATGGCTTAGTGATTTTTTCAATGAAATAAGCATGAGCAATTGAAATTTCTAAGAACAAGATGATGCAACTAGAAGAGATTTAAAAAGAAGAAAAGAATTGGAGGTGTGAAATTAGGCCAATGATTCAATTAGTGATTGGTGTTATAAAGAAAGTAAGAAAGTGAGAGAATAAATTGCTTTGGCTTATACTGTTAATACATCTCTAGGAACAATTCCTTTCTTTTCTTTCTCTCTCTCTCTCTTTCTTTCTTTCTTTCTTTCTTTCTTTCTTTCTTTCTTTCTTTCTTTCTTTCTTTCTTTCTTTTTCTTTCTTTCTTCTCTCCCCCCTCTCCCCCTTCTCTCCCACCCTCCCTTCTTTCCTTCCTTCCTTTTTTCTTTTCTTCTCTCTGTCCCTCCCTCTCCCTCTCCTTCTTTCCCATAAAGGCAAGGAAGCGGCCGATAGAGGAGGGGCTGAACATGTACCAGCTAATCTGTGTTGAGTAACTGTCAAACCAAAGAACCTTTACACTGTTAAAAGTTTCCCTTTGTTAATCATGAAAAAAGCAGTAACACACATTTTTCCACAAAAGCTGATGTGAAATGTCCAGTAAAACCTGCTAAGCTTTGTCTTTATCGATCCTTTTCCTGGTGACATCATTCAGGATAGTCTCTCTCACCTTCCAAACCCAGAATTTTGTTTGGTCTTTGCAGAAGGTGCATTCTAAACTTGGTATGGACTCATCACAGCCATTCCTTGTCTAAAGTCTTGTTACAGTTTGGATCAAGAATGTGACCGAGGAGCCTCATGTACTCAGAGGTGGGGCTTTTGGAAGGTGACTGAATTATGGGATGCTACAGCTGACTTGCTGTTTGGGGGTGGGTCTGGTCAGAGGCGGGTCACTGGGGGTGTGACCTAGAAGGACCTGTTTCCCTCCCTACTCCTCCCTTCTCCCTCTGCTTCCTGGCCACGATGACATGGGTACCTCTTCTCCGCAGGCCTCTCTACCATGCCATTTTGCCTTGGAGCCAGCCAACTATGGACTGAAAACACAAGCTAGAATAAACTCCTTGTTGAAGTTGCAGGTGTCAGGTATTTTGTTCTGGCAACAAGGAAAGTGACTAAGATAATACTGTAGCTCAATAGGAAGAGCACAACCATTTTTGATATTCTCTCAATGAAACCTTTTTAAAATTCAAGGCTTAAAATCACCCTTAATTAACTACATACATCACTCAGTGTAATTTCAACTACCTAGGATTTTTATTTTCCGTGTATAGATATTAACTTGATGTTTCCTTAAGGAATTATTCAAAATAGTTTACTATTGACTAATATCTTAAATGTATATTTATGGGGCATGATTGTTATAAAAACAAACATCTTTAAGGCACTAAGAAACCTCAGAATGCTCTCAATATTTCTTTGAATTTCACAACTGAAGCATTTATTTGCAGCTCATTATCTGTGGAAGAGAAGAGCCAACCAGATAT